AGATAATTAATTTAGATATAACGCACTCACCTGGTCGCCTTCTACACTCCGAGTTCTTTTATTTTATTTCCGAGTGGGTTTCTTAGCCGGTGTTATTAAGAAAAAATTATTACACCAGGTGGCGGTGTCCACCATATTTATTTTGGAATTAACGCATTTTCAGGCCGATAATATATCTGCATTTGCGGAATGTACAAAATAATTTGCAACTTTTGTGTGAGCCTGGCCGAGTTTTTCCATTTTTGCTTGTACAGTAAATGTGGGAAGCCTTGGGTGAGCCTTTCAAGTTTTTATAATTTTTGAGTAATTAGCAGAAACTCAACAATTTTTTGTTCAGAAAAACAGAGTTACGTTCAGTTTACGCTCCATTCCGCGCTTCTGCTCTGACCAATTTGGTTCATTTTCAATACTAACCTGCATGCAAAGACTATTAATATTTCTATCAAATTTGAAATTGATGTCTTCACTTTTGAGGAGGAGGACCAAAACCAGGAGATTACCAAAAACAAATATCGCACATACAGACAGACAGACAGACAGACAGACATACGTGGCTAAATTAACTCACAATTTCACACTGATCATGATTTATGTATATATATATATATATATATAGTTTATAAGGTCTCTGAAGCTTCCTTGTATGCGTTGTATATAGATTATGGAAAAAAACCAAAGTAAATAAATCGCCTTCATCTTACAGTAGTGCGTGTAACAAGTTTTCTTCTCTATGCAGAATAAAGTAAATAAATGTACATAAGAAAAAAAAACAAAAAAACGAATAAATAAACTATATTTTCATAAGTAAAATCCTGCAGAATAACCACAAACTAAGTGCGGGCTCACTGAACTGAAGTGAATTGAAAAATGATAGAATGTACTTTCAGTAAGGAAAACTATTTCAATCGATTGTATCTGCTTCTGTCCATTTCTTCTGCAATTTCTATGCAGAAATCCCATTTAATGGGGAAATGAATTACGCGATATCTGTACATATTTGTTAAGTCAGTTGATTTCCTATTTATTTACCACATTCCTGAAGCGTTTCTTTATATAGCCTCTGAAATGCTGATAAGGGACACTGCTTCATTGGACTCTGCTTACGTTGAAGAATAGATAAACCTGGCAACTTCTAGCAGACTATATATGTCTGGTGAGTATGATGACTATGCTCTAACTGGTCGCTTTGTAAATTCCCGGATAATATTGAAAAACAAAAACCGTAGAGTAAAGTCTTTGGTTTCTTTGATCGGCTTTAAATTAATTTAAATCGAAAAGGCATATATAGTCTTGACCGATTTCTATACTTCCGAAGTTATTCTATCGTAAGTCGTTGAACAATGAAATTTTCCAATCTATTAGGCCGCGAATCTATGGATCTAAATATGCCTTTCGTCGAGGTTCGAGTATTCGTACGTCATTGTTGCCTTGTCTTACTGATTTCATCAGGCTACAAATATTAATATTGGCAATCTATGTGTTTTGATATCTCTCGATCCTATATGCGACTTTGAATAGGAAGCTTGGCGATCAATTCAATTTTCCAAATGCGATCTGTAGACTTATTACTTCGTGATAGATCGCAATTTTGTGGACCTTGAGGAAGCTAAGTTCAATCATCTATTCCTAGCCGTACATGCTGATAATCAATGAATTTACGTTTGAGGCCATTTTAGCATGCGGATGACGTTTATCTATTACTCAATGACGATAGCATATCGAGTCCGGCTTTTGAACGAGATGTGATAGGTCTGTTGCAGTGGCCTACTCATAATACCTAAAGCGATGCTGCTCAGTTCTATTGTCTCACCCTGTGCTTTTATACTAGCTTCCATCTTGGTAATATTGAAATTGAGTGTCTTTGCTGTTCCGTTATTACGAGTGATTTTGAAAACTTGTACTTCGGGGCGATAAAGGCGTTTCAAGTTTTAGAATATGTTATGGACATGTTTTCTTATTATAATAAATTTTAGTTTCTTTTTTTAACGATTAATACCAGGCGATACCAGGGCCATTAAACAGCCCTTCCAAAGTTTAAGTTAAGTATTCCTCCTCCAACCATTATTGAAATTACGCACAGCAATCTCAGTGACTATGCTTAAGGAAATTAATTTTTTGCGGGTAAAGAAATTTTTCCCACATATTCTAGGGCTAGAAGGTGCAAAGCATTTTATGAAATAAAAACAAGTAAGAAAATTAAATTCGGTCAGGACCGAATCTTTTATACCCATCACTGTTTACCCCAGGAAAAGACAAAAAAAGTAATATATATATATATATATATATATATACATATATATATAAGTAAATGATATTTAAAATTTAGATTTATATACTATATATACTATATATATATATATATATATATATATACTTATAAAACAATACTTTTGATGCGATATGATTAAATGATATTTGAAATTTAGATAAGTGAAACTATTCCGATGTTATCGTAACAAAGATCACTCACTACTTTCATCATCATTTTTTAGCAATTACACTTATCGCCTGCCACTCAGTCCACACTTATGATTTTATGATATTACGTTGAATGTCGAATGTTCGAACATTAGAATGAAGAATGAAGAGTGAATAATAATGAAACATCATACATTATTAATAGTGCTTGTGTGTAAATGACTTTTCACATTCAATAAAAATCATACATTAAATGAAGTTAAGGTTAGCACTGGCATCGATTAATTGGAAAGAAATTTCATTTAGGTGCGTGTGTATGGTTAAAATCGAATCTTTCAATAACCGTTACTTACTTACTTCTTTCCAAAAAAAAAAAGAAAAAAAAAAAAAAAAAAAAAAAAAAAAAATGAATGAATGAAAGAAAGTTTATTTAGTTAAGCAGATAATTGT